AAAAAAAAAAAAAAAAAAAAAAAAAAAAAAAAGAACATTGGAATCAATTGCTCTTTGAAGCAACAAACTCCATCAGCATTGGAATCAACTGCTCTTTACTGATGATATATTTGCTTGAAATTGGACACAGGCAATGCTTGCCAGGCTCCCTTTCTCCAAAAAAGGCAAAGGGAAAAATCGTACTCTGTTTGAGAGGAAACGGGACGAGAGTAGGCAAAGGCATGGAGGTCAAAAGAGCCGGTGGCATTGGCTTCATCTTAGGAAATAGCAAAGCCAACGGAAATGAACTAGCAGCCGATGCCCATATTCTTCCCGCAACTGCTGTTAACTACGAGAACGCTCTCGACATTCTGAAATACATAAAGTTGACAAAACAACCAAAAGCACACATCGTGCCAGCTACGACTGTCTTGGACGCTAAACCCGCGCCTTTCATGGCTGCTTTCTCCAGCAGAGGACCCAGCACACTTTCGCCCGATGTTCTCAAGGTACAAAACATTCGGTTGTCGCCCTGTTTTTTTTTTCTTTTTCTGAAGTCACTAGAGATGCTGAATGCTCGTTTTTTCCTGCAAAATGTATAGCCCGATATCACGGCCCCAGGGCTCAACATATTAGCAGCCTGGAGTGAAGCTTCTTCTCCAACAAAACTAGCGAGCGATAATCGAGTCGTCAAGTACAATATAATTTCCGGCACATCAATGTCATGTCCGCATATAAGCGGCGCATCGGCTCTTCTCAAAGAATTACACCCCGACTGGAGTGGCGCCGCCATAAGATCCGCTCTCATGACCACCGGTAACACATTTTCTTTCCTTTTTTTTTTCAAAACGATAGATTTTGTAAAAAATAAAAAAAAATAAAAACATAATTACAACTAGACATCACCCAGAATAAGCCAAAATTTTCATGGCCTAACAAAATTTTCAAAATGGAACTTGAAAATGTTCAACCTACAAACAATCAAGCTCGAATGTATTTTTCCTAATAATTATATATTTGATTTGATTACACAATTTGTAGCGGGATTGCTTAATAACGTGGGGAGTCCTATTACCGACGCAACGGGAAACCCGGCCGACCCATTCCAATTCGGGTCGGGCCATTTTCGACCCACAAAAGCAGCCGACCCAGGGCTCGTGTACGACACATCGTACAACGACTATCTTCTCTTCCTATGCAGCAGCGTTGGGGTAAAAGGCCTTGCTCCCTCCTCCTTCAAGTGCCCCGAAAATTCTCCATCTCCGGTTAATCTGAATTACCCGTCGCTAGCCGTGCCAATGTTGAACGGCACAGTAACTGTCACTAGAACTGTGACAAACGTGGGCAACGGGAAAAGCGTTTACTTCGCCAGCGTAAAACCTCCACTCGGGGTCTCGGTAAAAATATGGCCACCTGTACTGAAGTTTCAGCAGAGGGGTGAAAAGAGGAGTTTTACCATCACATTGAAAACAGAGGTCGAGTACACGGGAAGGATTGAGAAGGGCGCGTATTTGTTCGGATCCTACGCATGGTCGGACGGTGTTCATGTCGTCCGGAGTCCGATGGCTGTTTCGATTGCTTAGGTTTCCTTATGGTTCAATGAGCATATATATCAAGGTTGATATTGGGGGATCAAATAGATTTACATAGGCTTTTAAGTGATTTACAGAGTTCTTTGATGAAAATTGTTAGGATGGTGCATACAATTACAACTGAAGTCATCACAATTTAACTCTGTATTGCTTATAGAAGCAACACAGTCTCTGTGTTGTCAAAATTATGTGTAGCACAAATATATCATCAAATAAATAAAAGCAAGAAGTTTATCTTGATAAGGAGGGAATTGTTGTGTTTTTTTATTTTTTTTTTTAAATGTTTAATCATAATAACACTGGAATTCTGAAATATTAAAACAAACGCATTTTCTTCTCTCCATTTACCAATTATATCTACAACTACAAGTGAGTATAGTCCATGTGACGCATCATACTATGTATCAAATCGAGTCTGTGGAGAGGACACCTTCAACTGGGAGGACACCATCTCGTAACGTCAAACACTCCGACCGGCTGCAAATTGGCTTGCCTTCTTCCTCATCGCCGTTGGAATGCCGCGTACCTGAGAAGAACTCTCATACCGGAGGGATTTTCCGATGAATAGTCTCTAATGCTTAAGTCAATGTTTGTTCTACTCAATTCTCAAGTGTAAAAATGGATAAATCGTGTTCAGAATGTAAAGCTCACCCCTATGTTTAGGGGTGAGATACCTGTCCTAGAAGCTGCCTGGGTTAGCTGAGCTGACTACCCAAAATCTGCCCATCCGTACATACACAGTGTGCGTGTGTCAGAAGCGGTTATTCAGTGAGGACCAATCAAGTCGCTCCACGTATCCTCCGCACATTGGATAAAGATTCTTTTGTATTCTCTTTGAAGGCTCTTGTGCCTGACCATATCTAGGTCGATCCTCAGACTACTCTCATTCTGTGAAATGGTCGATCAAGTGACCAATTACTCGATAGGTCGATGTTCGACCGGATCCTCCATAGACCTGGGACCGATTCATTCTTCTCGTAGGGTCTTCCGTACATGTTCTTATGATTGTTCGACCACGACCATTCTGTTCGACTCTATTCGATCGGGCCCACCTGAACGGTTTGTTCTAACTTAATCTTACAATCCAATATATCTTTATTCTCAAGCCAACACAACTTAAATATATATATATATTTTATTTTAATTTATCTAAAAAATATAATTTTATTTCAAAATATATCAAGTGTGGTATCTATTTGTAAAGATTGAAAAAAATATGAATTTTAGTATTTTTTATATATTTTTTTGAACCAAAAAAATTACACTTGTCCAATAAAAATAGGACAAATGTCCCATTTTCATATAAACGACCGGTTACCCAGGGTCAGATTGTGACCTGGGTCGTTAATGCTGATGACCTCCTTTTTTTTATTTTTTTATTTGTGTTGGAGGGGGAGACCCAACATTTGGGTCACCGATAAAGTAAGCCTTAGGTATTAATGCATACATCATTGAGTGCCCTGTAATTTTATATAACAAGAGATCGAGTGTTGTCATCAAGCATACATCATTCAAGGTCATTCCAGTATATGAGTCCAATGAAGTCAAAAAAAATATATATCTTTTTAACACACCATGCCAGGACATGGTGTATCTTTGTAGGTGCCTTTAAATTCTATACAGTTAATTATAATTTTGGTTCTAAAACTTAATTATGAATTTTCAATTAAGTAGCTTTATCTTTTATATTTATATTCATTTTAACAGGTCTATTGTATTTAGATTTTTAGCCAATTAATTTTTTTTCTATTTTCAACCTATCAATTTCTCCAATGATTAGATTATATTAAAAATATGTATTCCAGGTATATACCATTATACACTACTAAAATAGTTAAAAATTAAAAAAAAATGTATTAATTTAAAATGGCATTTACATTTTATTTCTAAGACTTACAAAATATTATACAAACACCCTAAGATTCATCTAATTTCAAGTTTAGATTGAAAATAAATTAAAATTCGTCCAAGGCAAACAATAAAGTTAAACATTTGCCGCATAAGATTCCAAAGCGTGCGGGTCTGCCACTTAGGTTGAGCACATTCGAAAGTTATATATATGGGGATTAGCCTTATTAATAAGGCTTAATTGCACGTAAAGTTCTCGCTTTTTGTGTAATTGCAAATAAAACTCAATCTTTTTATCTTTGCAAATAAATACCAAACTTTTATTATGTGTTGCAAATTTGTCTGCTGACGTGTCTGATCAGAACACTAAAATCGCCTAAAAATCACTCGAAAATCGCTCCCTCTGCCCAATTTTTCAGAATTTGGGGGTGAGCTCGTAAATGTATTCGGAACGTTGGGGGTGAACTCGATTTTTGGGGGGTGAAGAATAGCGCCATGGAGAAGAGAAGAATCACTACAAATATTTTTTTGTTCAATTAGGGGAGGAGAACTCGATTTTTTGACGATTATGGAGCAAAAAACATGGTGATAAATCATATTTTTTCAATTGGTACTAAACTCTAATTTTGGTAAATTTGTTGTCATATGATGTAGCAAAAACATGATGGGGAGTTTCAAACATTGATGCCACACAAGTCTGATCGGACACGTCATCGCCAGAAAATAGTTTCGAGACTAATTTGCAACAAATAATAAAAACTTGGTATTTATTTGCAAAGATAAAAATGTTGAGTTTTATTTACAATTACACAAAAGGTGAGAATTTTATGTGCATTTAGCCTATTAATAATATTTTTTCTTTTAATTTCTAATTTACAAAATTCATACTGATGAATTTTCTTACAAAAATATTCTTCGATTTTCTAGTTGAAATTAGTATGTCAACAATCTATTTTTTAGGTCAATAATTTACCTTGTACCATGGAACACAAAATTCAAAAAGTTTACTTTTAAGGAACCAAAAAAAAAATCTTTTCCGAACTTTTTATCTTTCCCATGAAGCTATTCAACTAATTATCACTGCAAGATACTCGCAATTTCGGCTTATGTGAATTTGCATTATGAAAATCCCTATAAATATTCAGGTTAGCAACTCAGTTTTGCATGTAACATATATCTATACACAACTTCCTTTTAACATATATATATATATATATGGAGTATTCCAATTTAACCATTTTTCTCATCCTCCTCATTCCTCTCCTGGCTTCATGTATCGATCAGAACAAAAAGGTCGGTGTAGTATATGTTTCTAATGTACATATATCTCGACAATTTGATAGATTAGAGAATGAAATCTACAATAATGTTATATTGCAGGTATATATAGCGTACTTTGGAGAACATCATGGACGAAAAACGAACCAAGAAATAGAAGAAAACCATCGTTCTTATCTGTTGTCTGTGAAGGAAAACGAGGAAGATGCACAATCTTGTCTTGTTTATAGTTACAAGAATCACATCAATGGCTTTGCAGCTGTTCTTACCACACAAGAAGCTTCAAAACTTTCGGGTGGGTAAAACAGTGAAGCGGTTGTATGTGTGCGCGCTTGTATGTTATTTAATCCTTGTGCTTGATTTTAACTTTCGGCAGAGATGAAGGATGTGATATCTGTATTTCCAAGCAATTCACGTTCATTGCACACGACAAGATCATGGGAATTTGCAGGTTTATACGACCCAAAACCGACCTATTCGGACGTGGAAAATTTATGGTCAATGACAAAATATGGGGATGGGGTTGTTATTGGCCTGGTAGACACTGGTATTAACCTATATTACTTAATCCAACTTCATCACTAGACAAATATATAGTATTAATTGCATCATCATTTCATGGATAAAATTCATTTTAGGTCGTATCAAATTATGAAGGTAGCGGTTTAGGTTCCACTGGAGTGACATATTGCATTTTAAGTCCCGCAATTTAATATTATGCTAGTCCTTTGAAGTCTGAAATTGCAACGAAATTACCAATTTTATACTTTTCAGATAGATATTTGATTAGCAAATTTAAGTCTTGTATTTTAAATTTTATTGTAATTTCAGTCTCGAAGATTAAATTTCCAGCAACACTATATTAAATTTCACTCAAGTGGAACCTAAACTGCTGCCTTCAAAATTTAACATGACCAAAATCGCATTTTAGCCTCATTTTAACTAACTCAAAACTTTGAACAACACACAATTAATTTGAATTAAATTGATGAGAGTTACTTTCTTTACAGGAATTTGGCCAGAATCGGAAAGTTTCAGTGACAAAGGAATGGGGTGCATACCAAAGTCGTGGAAAGGAACATGCGAATCGGGCCACGAATTCAACGCATCACATTGCAACAGAAAGATAATCGGCGCCCGATACTACCTCAAGGCATTCGAAAAGGAATTCGGGCCCGTGAATAAAACGATTGATTACCGCTCGGCCCGCGACAAAGACGGGCACGGGACCCACACCGCGTCCACGGCCGCCGGCCGGAGGGTCAGCCGTGCGGCATCCCTCGGAGGCTTCGCCGGCGGGACAGCCACCGGCGGGGCCCCGCTGGCCCGCCTGGCTATTTACAAGGTATGTTGGGCGTTGAATGAGGATGACGCAGCGTGCAACGACGCTGACATCCTAGCCGCCATTGACGATGCAATTGGGGACGGCGTCAACGTGCTTAGCATCTCGCTTGGCGCGGAAAAACCTTTCGCCTTAAGTGAAGATTCCACAGCCATCGGTGCCCTTCACGCCGTTAAGAAGGACATAGTCGTGGCCTGCAGTGCTGGGAATAGTGGACCCGACCCAGCTACGGTGGTTAATTCGGCGCCGTGGATTATGACGGTTGGGGCTAGCAGTGTTGACAGGAGATTCCCATCCCCTATTGTGCTTGGGAATAAAATTGTGGTGATGGTAACTATATATTTATTTACCAATTATATATGGCGTAATTTCAAAATTGGTCTTATAATTTAGCCACAGTCTAAAAAACCAACCCGATATTGACCTATTTCAAAATTGGTCCTATATATTCAAAATTTAATCAAATCTGGTCCTTTTGATTCGGAACATGGATTAAAATGTGAAAAAAAATGGACCAAATTTGATTAAAAAATGTCATATGTTACCGTCATAAATTGCATTATTTTTTCTTTATATATATAATATATATTATCTTTTCGTTCTCTCCTATTTTACTTGAACCAAAATACATTATAACATCAATCAATGATATATTAATACATTATATGTTCCTTTATTTTTGTGTGTGTGATTCGAATTCTTTGTAGGGAGAATCAGTAACACCGTATAAGGCGAAAAACAAGATGTTTCCATTAGCCTTGGCAAGTCAATTAACACGCTCTGGTGTACCCAAAAACATTTCCGGGTCTAAGTCTTTTTCTCTCATCATCATACCTAATTCTAACAAATGATTAAAAAAAAATAATTCAATATTTTCTTATTAAATTACTAGTTTCTCATGTGTTGATATAAATTTATTTATTTATTTATTTTATTTTTTTTCTGGTTGAATATATACAGGTATTGCCTATCAGGTTCCCTCTCTCCACAAATGGTTAAAGGAAAAATCGTATTGTGTAAAGCCGGATATGTACATCCAATGCTCAAAGGCGACGAGGTCAAAAGAGCCGGAGGCGTTGGTGTAATCTTAACATATGGTAAATTCTATGGAAACACACTACTGCTCGATGCAAATATTCTGCCTGAAACTTCCATTGATTACAACGACGCCTTAACAATTCTCGATTATATCAATACCACAAAAGAACCAACGGCAAAGATATTTCCAGCTAAGAGTCTATTAGAAGCCAAACCAGCACCTTTCATGGCTGCTTTCTCTAGCACAGGTCCCAACTCGATATCACCGGATATTTTAAAGGTAAAACCTACTTTTGCATATATAGACCAAAAGAATATCTAAAATACTACACAACATTCTAGTCGAAATAATCATTTAAAAACATAAAAAGGGCTAAAAATTGGTACGGTAAACTTTAATTTTGTATCAATTTCATACTTGAGACTCGTGACGAACTCTAATTGCACCACGATAGACAACATGCACTTTTTAAAAAAATTTAGTGAAATGTCATGGAGGCATTTGTTTATTAGTATGTCGACGTTTTGATTCACCGGATGTTAATGTGCGCCTAGACAACATTATTGACACAACAATTCTAATAAGTTCTTTTTCTTACGTTGTGCTCACTTCAACTCCAAACCATCTCTTGATTTATCAAGTGTATTTTCGAAACGAACTATTAACTTCTCACTTACAACGTGATTCTCATATAGAGAGTATTCTTCCTTACTCCATGTTTAGGTATAGGAATCACTATAAGTCATTTGATCAAACATTATTACTTGGACAAATTTTACACTCGACGAAATAACATAAGTTTTCAAGGCTTTACACTTGACGAATGAGTTCATGTGATTCAATGAATTGTTGTACTTGAGTTTTCCCAGTGAACAAGATTTTTGAAAAGTGAAGATTGATTTTTTTTTTTTTTTCCATAAAATTTAAAATATATTGTACCAAATTAAAGAATTAAAAATTATCCAACTGTTGAATGCTTGTTTTTGGTGGTGCAAATATACAGCCGGACATCACGGCTCCAGGACTAAATATATTAGCAGCATGGAGCGGAGCATCTCCTCCCACTAATATTGCAAGTGATAATCGAAGAGTCAAGTATAATATCCTATCGGGCACATCAATGTCTGCTCCACATGTAGCCGGAGCATTGGCTTTGCTCAAGGCCCTGCACCCTAATTGGAGTAGCGCCGCTTTACGATCTGCCATCATGACCTCAGGTACTTTTGCGACACCGTGTCGCAACACAACAAATTTAGATTTATAAATTTTCCTCGATTAACATTAACTAATTAGTAGTAGTGGTGAACAAGAGTCAATCTCACTAGGAATGTGGTATAAACGGTGATTATTTTGTATTGATTAGAATAAATTAAAAATAGGGGGAGGGTTTCGATTTGATGCATAACTGCTAAACGAAACAAAGAAAATAAACTAGAACAAAAAATTAAACGATTTAAACATGTCGTAGATAATGAAAACAAAAATAAACAAATACCCTATAGCAATAATATGAGAATGGACTCAGTTTTAGGTCGGTTTACAATCCAGATTAACTAGTTCAGCTGACCCACATATTGAATCTTATTCGTTTTTTACAACTACTGGTCCTAGGTAGCAATAAGCTTTGGTACCCGACTTTCTCCTTGCAGATTAACTTAATCGAAATAGGTTGTCCAATTAAATCTAACTAGTGAACAACTCGGAATAGGCTCTTCTAACTTAATTAACTAGTCGCAACAAATTATTCTAGAAAAATAGACCGATCTAAGCATCAAACATATAATCTCGGTTCATGTACTTAACGTTGTATTATCCCTAACAACTGTTAGCGATTATTAGTTGCTACGAATGAATTAAAAGCGACAACAATTACAGATTGAAGCCTAGTAATTAAAAAGCAAATACATTACAACTACATTCTTCATATCACTTGTCTTCTTGCTTGTCACTCGCTTATACTGATTTACAAAACTATCTTGTATCATAAACAATCACAATCTTTACACAATATATGATAATCATCTAGTATATAATTAATCAAACTTTTTTTTTTCAACTTCCAGCTGAACAAGAAGACAATACGGGCAACCAAATAACTGATTCAAACGGCAATCCAGCCAACCCATTTCAATTCGGGTCGGGTCATTTCAACCCGACGAAAGCCGCTAACCCTGGACTTGTGTATGATGCTTCTTACACGGACTATCTTCTCTTCCTATGTAGCATTGGAGATAAAAATCTTACTTCTTCTTCTTCATCATTTGAGTGCCCGAAAAATCCACCTTCTGCGGGTAATTTGAACTACCCATCTGTGGCAATACCGAGATTAAACGGTACCGTTACAATTAGCAGGACAGTCACTAATGTGGGAAGCTGCAGTAGTGTTTATTTTATCAATGTAAAACCTCCACAAGGAATATCCGTAAAAATATCGCCTCTTGTGCTCGTATTCAACAAACTTGGTCAAAAGATACGCTTCGCAATCACGGTAAAAGTACAAAATCAAACGAAGATTGAGAAGGGCAAATATTTATTTGGAGAGTACAAGTGGTACAATGCAGATTATAGTGTGAGGAGTCCCATTGCAGTTTCAGTGGACTAGTTCTTTTCCTTTATGATCTGATGATGGTTAATTCTGTGTTATGCTCGACTTTAGATAAGTTTGAACTTTGAACTATACTGTGCTTTTGTACTGGTTTCGTTATGTGTTCTCTACATGAATAAATAAAGAACTTTTATGTTTGTAGAATAATAATAGGGAAAATACTTTAGCTAGTTGCTTGTATAAAATAAATCTTGGTCTGGCTTCACTTCCAACTACCTATCGCAGTTCGAGCATGGCCACAAATGCAGATCAACGGAATTTAGGGCGTGATTGGATATAAAGTTTTTTCGAGCAGGGCCAAACAGATACAAATTAATGGGAACTTAAGGCCTGATTGGATATAAAATGTTTTAGTTTTTCTAGCCCGACAATTTTTTGAAACTTTTTAACTTATTCAACTCTTAATATATTCAACTCTCTTCGATATTATCAATATAATTGAATAATATCGATCAGTCATTATCACATATCACATCAATTTTAAAATTGTCGACAGATATGGTTCATCACGGATGATTCCTTGTAAAACAGAAATGTATGAGGTGGAGCTGTTGCGTTTTGGTTTTCGAGCTGCAGAGACTATGAAGAATTTTCTGGGCTGCATTTTTGTGCTGACCTGTTTAAATAATTTCCATACTACTATTTTTAATGAGTTCTTATGTAGAACATTATTTTTTAGGTGTTGCATTTAGTCTTGATAATAAGTGAGTTTTATTACAGTCACAAGTGGTATTTTGCAAAAATAGAGTGAAAATGTGACTTAAAATAAAACTGCTATGTGGTTCTACTCTTTGCATACAAACAACAAACGTACATTCCCAACATTTTTGAGATAATTCAATTCCTCAATGCTATGAAGATGATAAAATACTTGGGTGTCGGACCGAAAGTAAGGATAGAGGGAGTTATGCTTCAAATTTAGATCGACGCCAACTAGACTCCATCATGTTTAGTTTCATGCAATTAAACACAGATCTTCAAGACTACATTAAAAACAGAATCAAACATCTTGTTCGGTGGTGCTAAATTTTATCAAATACTATCTAAAGGAAACGTAAGTGGGTCCATGACATTTCAACCGGGACACACCTGAGCCACCTTGTAGGCCTACACAGTATAACGGTTCTTGGCATTCCTATCCTTCTTAGCATCATCCTGCATAAGTCACGGCAACTCA